CCAAATTCTATTCATCACACTTCAAGGCCAGACCAAATTTCTGGGGAGGGGAAATGAGCTACTTCTCCAAACAGGAGTACCAAGGTGGCTGGGGGCATGTTTTAAATCTACCACACTGTCTTTTATTTATCTACTGACAACTTTCCAACTGAAATCACCCCTTGTATACTTTGAATTTTTCTTTTCTAAATCTAGTTGTAGTCCATGATAAAAACAAGATAGCAGACTAGAAAAATTTACTGGGCAAATGTGTTATTTTACATAGTATGCAGGGGAAAAAAATGAGAGACCCTAAAATTTCATATCTTCATTGTGAAAAGGAGAAAGGAAGCACCAGTAATTTTGAAGACAACCTGAGGTAATCAAACATGTAATTCCTTTTGGTAACATCTATATTTTTTGCGATGGCCATCACATGGAAATGGTACTGTGAATTTGAGAGAACACAGGATAGAAGGCTCTTGTTGAAGTTGAAAAATGATTAATTTCACAATCTGTAAATCCCCCCTTACAAGGGGGGATGTTTTTTGAACAGAATTGAAAGTTCATTTCCAAAATCTGAGAAGTATTCATTCATTATTGTGAAAAGATTCCAATGCCCTGAAGTTTTTCTTACCTTTTTTCTTGGAAATTTTTATCATAGATCTTTCTCCTCTATCATCACAACATCAAATATATATACATTAAAACACTTTTATTTTATTTTTTATGTATTGGTGTTTTTTGGTTTTTGGTACTGGGGCACCCCAGGGGCATTTTACCACTGAGATACAGCCCCAACCCTTATTTTTCATTTCAGACAGGGTCCCACTAAGTTGCTGAGATTTGCCTCAGTTCTTGAAGTTGTGATCCTCCTGTCTCAGCCTCCAGAGTTGCTGGGATTACAGGCAAGCACCAGCACACTTGGATTATTTCTCCTTCTTTGTTTTTTAACATACAAAAAGGCACTTGACTTTAATTAAGCCTAAGAGAAATGCAAATTAAATTCATGATATTACTACTACATATCCATATTTATTTATTTATTTGTGTGTGTGTGTGTGTGTGTGTGTGTGTGTGTGCACGAGTTCTCATCAGGGATGAACTCAAAGGCACCTATTTTTTATTTTGAGATAGGGTCTCACTAGGTTGTTTACAACCTTGTGAAATTGCTGAGGCTGGCTTTAAATCTGTGATCCTCCTGCCTCAGCCTCCTGAGCTGCTGGGATTACAGGTGTGTACCACCACACCTGGCTGCTGCCCTGGTTCTTCAAGGGATGTGCTCTGAAGATAGCTACCATTAATGAGGTATGGGATGAAGAGAGTGCCATGCAAGCAGGTGGCCCTGCCTCTGACCTTCAATAGACTGGGCAGGGCCTGGTGAGGAGTCCCAGTAGAGATGCAGAGTGGGAACTGTCCTTCGGTCTTGGGGATGACCAGGGCGGATGTTGAGGTGACAGGGATCCAGCATGACTGTTCAAATTTCTATTCTTTTGGGAGGCAGTTCCACATTGTTTCTCTCCAAGCCACTCCCAGGAGCTACTGGAGCTGAGCTGGTGAGTCCCTGGGGTCCAGCCAGCTTTCTTTGGGGAGGGTCTCTGTGTTGGGAAATAACAGCCTGAGTGCATGTGCTAAAGACAGTGGTTCCAGGATGAAGGCCTTCGTTGAGGTTGCTTCTCCATATTTTCCTGGGCAATTTTCTTTTCTGCAGAGAACTAGTCCTTACTCCGTGGTGCTGGAATTCAGGGGAGTTAGAAAGACCCCCTGTGTAGAAATGTATTGGCTCTTCTCTGCTTCTGATGGTGGCTCTTATTTTCTTTCTTTTCTAAGTGGGTAAGAAGTCTGAATTCTCCTGTTGTATAATTCTATGTTCTCTTTTTCTTCCTCTGTCTTATTTTTCTTTAGTGAAATATACATTCAAAGGAAACACCAAAAAGCATTAACTTTACAAATTAGCACAGCTTATTTACCAAATACTTTTGTGACTGAAGAAGTGGGTAGGTGCAATGATTATGCCTCACCGAACAAGCAAATCCAATTCCATAAAGCAGAGAGCAAACCAATGTAAGTACAGTGTTCTCCTGTGACTAGCATGGGAAGTGAGGGAGGCAAACTAGCTTCCCAATTTTGACATTCTGTTTCCATTTCTAATCTCAAATGCCAGTGAAGATAAAAAGAAAGAAAGAAAGAGGTGGGGGGAAGGGAGGGAGGAAGGAAGGGAGGAAGGAAGGAAGGAAGGAAGGAAGGAAGGAAGGAAGGAAGGAAGGAAGGAAGGAAGATAGATATTGCATGCCACCTTGTGGATAAATAAGGAATGGAATTCGTGCACACTGGTTGGTTTTTTGGGTGGTGGTGGTGAAAATCTAACACTGTATTTTTGTTTTTGTCTTCTATTAACAAGTAAACAAAACAACAAAAACAAACCCACAAAAAATCAGAGAGAACAATGGGTACTCAAATATTTTAGAGTATAGATTAAAAATAGCATTGGTAATTAATCATGCCACCCTTGATTTAGAGTGTACCCTGCTGAAGCAGCTCAATGAATAAATGATTTTTTTTTCAATTCTGACTTTTCAGACCAGATGTTGGCTTCCAGGCCTGGCCTAATGTCAGATCTGATCTTCCAGGTTATTATTAACATCTCATGTGGTTAGGTGATAAAATTTGGTTTGTATTCTAAACAGGTATAAAATCTTGTACCATTGTCAACCTTCCATTTCCGCATGTGAGGTGTATTTACTAAGTAATCAGCTAAACAAATATTTCATAATGGGTTAGTATGAAAGAGCTGCATACAGGAGACCTTGGATCTCCCAGAAAGGATGATTAGAAGTCCACCATCAAACAGCTAGATGGCTTCTTGCCATCTTATAGATTACTTATGTCTCTTTGGGTCTAGCAAGTTAGTCACAGTCCTCTTTTCTGCAAAATAATAGTGTCAGGTCTGATTAGTCATTTTCAATCTGTGTATTTCACTGGCTTCCAAAACTGTTTAATCCAAATTTCATTAAAATATATTTTCTGAATTTAGCTTTTACAACATCATTTATAAAATATACTTCCTGGATAGTGCACACAGTGACATGAACCAAGTTTGAATATAGTAGAGACTTTTGAGGCAATCAGTTCACACACACAAACAAATGTAAATATATGTGTGTATGTGTATATATATATATATATATATGTGTGTGTGTGTGTGTGTGTGTGTGTATGTGTATGTGTGTGCACGTGCACGCGCACGTATGTATAAAATAAATGAGATAGTGTATGAAAAACACTTAACAAATTGCCTGGATGATGTTAAGTGATAACTCTTGATAACTTATGATTTTTGTTGTCTTTGTTGTAATCATCACTGTAGGGGAGGCATGGCAGAGTTTTACCTCCTATGTAGGGTTTCTTTTGTGCAGGACCTAAGAATTAAACTGACCTAAGACAGGGCTAGGAATGTAGCACAGTGGTAGGGTGTATAGCATTTGTTTGCTCTCAGTACCACTTTAAAAAAAAAAAAAAAACTGACACAAGAGATTAATTGGAGAAAAGCATACAAATGTATTTTAATGTAAATTGTACACGATCCAGGAGACTTTGTAGAGAAATGAAGACCCGAAGAGGCAGTGAAATTCCGTTCCTTAGATACTGAATTGGTAGGGAGGCTTAAAAGATGAGTTTGTTATGGTTTGTGAGATGTCCCCCAAAAGCTCATGTGTAAGACAATGCAAGAAAGTTTAGAGGTGAAATGATTGGGTTATGAGAGCCTTAATCTAATTGGTGCATTAATCCACTTGTGTGGATTAACTGGGTTGTGACTATAGGTAGGTGGGTTGAGGCTAGAGGAGGTGTGTATATATTTTGTTAAGAGGTTTTCATACATTATCTCATTTTTTTCCCCAAATACTGTTAATACCCACAGCTTATTGATAAGGGCACTGAGATTCAGGTGGGGTATTTCACTCAAGGTTACCAACCAAGTGAGGCCTGTATTCAAGCCCTAGTTTACCTAGCTTTAGCACCTTAACTACTGTCTATACTAAACACCTTTTCTGTGAGTTCTACTCTTTGCAGTCTTCCAAATATTTTGTACTGGCTTCTGTTGGAGTACAGTGTTGGTGCTGTAATCAGTCTTACCAGGCATTCTTCCCACTAGGCTGGGCCTCTGAAGACCTGGACTTTGACTTACTCACCTTTCCCCTAGCACCTTGTGCTGTGCTTGGCACACCCTGGACCCTTTGGGATATAAAACATTTTGGTAAGAAATCCCTCTTCATACTTATATAAACAGAAAGTAATTTTAAATGGGGCTTAAAATTGTAATCTCAGCGATGGGGGAGGATCTCAAGTTCAAGGTCAGACTCAGCAATTTAGTGAGACCCTCAGCAATTTGGTGAGACCTGCATCTCAAAATAAAAAATAAAAACGACTGGGGATGTAACTTAGTGGTAAAATGCACCTGGGTTCAATCCCCAGGACCAAAAAGAGACAGAGACAAAAAGAGAAAATAACAGGTAAGAATTATTTAGCATTGTAAATATGCAAGATAGAAGGAAAGTGGCTACAAAATCTGGGCAGAATTTCTTATAAATTAATAAAGAAAAATAGAAGATTAAAACTTCTTGAGAGGATGAACTGTTACAGCCTTGCATCACGTGTGTCTCCTGAGCGAGCCTTTTTCTACTTCTCCCCAGTTTACAGTTCCAAAGGTCAAAAAGCCAATCAAGCCATTTTCAAGCTTATTAAGTTCTCAAGGAGACACCCTAGAGGGAAAGTGGGTGGGCAGGTAGCGCATCTCTAATCAGAAAACCAAAATTGGGTTGTGGTTACATTCCAGTTGCCACTGAGGCGACAGCTCGGACAAGGACCTACTTCCCTGGATCTTACATCCAGACTTAGGTCAGTAGTGTAGGGGGAGGAGAGCCGCTTCCGGTGGGGTAATCTCTGAGCTGAAATTGGGGAGCTTTAATAAATGTTATAAGAGCAAATGGAATGATGACCGACGACCAGCCCAGCGGTTGCCAAGGAGCTAAAGAAGATCTCGCTTTGACGTCAGAATTCTAAGGAAAAGAAGGAAGGGGAAGGAGACATCGACGGCTGTTGAGGAACGGTGCTTCCTAGCCCCTTAGGCTGAAGCGAGGGACCCCGAATCCGTTTTCGCTTTTCGTTTCTTCGCTGATAGAAGACCGAGGAGGACCGAGGTCGGCCGAACCCCGGCTGGGGGCGGAGCCACAGAAGGAGAGGCGGGGCTACAGCGGAAAAGGACTACGGAAGCCGAGCAGGCATCGGTTGTTCCGCCGCGGAAGTGTCCGTACGCCGGCTGTGGGAAGGCAGCCAGAGACCTCTCGCGATCCGGCAGTCTCCAGTGCGCTCTTGGCCACAGCCGACCTTCAGCTGTGGCCGCAGCTCCCGTACCGAAGACGCGCTTCCTGAGTTGTCCAGCAACTTCAGTTGGGCAGCGGTGTGAGAGACCTGCCGCCGCGTGTCGTCGGTGCCTCCCGGTGTTTAGTGTGCGCACCTAGCGGGTAGAGCCCTTGCCCCGTCCCCCGGCTGGTCCGGGGCTCCAGGCATTGTACCCACGGCGACTCCGCCTGACGCGCGGACTGGCCTGCAGCCCGCGTCCCCGGCGGACGGCGTCATGAGAAGCCTGCCGTACTTCTGCCGGGGCCAAGTAGTGCGGGGCTTCGGCCGCGGCTCCAAGCAGCTGGGCATCCCCACAGGTAAGCCCGCGGCGGCGGCGCGGAGCCCCGGGACCGGGTCACGTAGGGGGCGAGGACGTCAGCCCGGGGACTTGCGAGCGGGTTGTGGGACCACCGTGCCGCAGGCGGAGGTGACCTCCTGTCAGCATCGTTCCCTCTGTGTTGGGGCCGAGGATCTTTCTTTGCGTTGTGGGAGCTCCTCCCTGCCCCTGGCTCAGATCTCCCTGGCGACCCGGGTGGTGATAGGAAGCTTAAGCTGAATCACAGGATCCCCCTTTCCCGGTCCAGCCAGGATGGTTAGCCAAGCATGGCGGTTACCTTGCCCATTAAAACCTAATGTGGCCAAATTCTCAAGCCGACCTTAAAGTTCGTTTCTTGGAATCTGTTAGTGTCCCAGTGATAACACAGGTAGTTGGAGAAGAGCCAACTTTGGGGCTTGGTCTGTCTTCAGAAGTTTTAGTAATCAAGACTTGATCGTTTAATTCATCCTTAAAAATACACAGCAGGGGCCATGTGACTCAGTGGTAATGCACCGCTGAGTTAAATCCCATCAGTTTAAACCCACCCCACCCCACCCCGCGCCAAAAATTGCAGCTACTCCTGAAAACTATGCAGTACTACTGGGTGTCGAAAACTACACAGCAGGGTTGCCCTTTGAACTGTTCAATCATTCTCTTTAGGCTGAGTATTTAAAATAAGAATCTTTTGAAGTGATTCAAACCCTACTTGGAAAGAACAAATCAAAAAAAAAAAAAAAGCCGTCGGTTTTGTTTGGTGATGTTGATTTTTGAATATTAAAATAGAGGAACCTGATGTGTTGCTCAAGGCTGCACCTGAACTTCTGGGTTCAAGSAATCTATCTTCCTGCCTCAGCCTCTTGAGTAGTTGGGCCTACATGTGCTGGTAACTGCTTGGTGGCCTCATTTCATCTGGTTATACCTTTTTTTTTTCCCTATCCAGAGAGTGGTTTTTGCTTTTTTTTTTTTTTTTTTTTTTTTTGAGAAGTTTATATACTTGCCTTATATCTTATTCCATACCTGTTCACCTGAAGAGAAAGAACTCCAACTCAGAATATGGGAGGATGAGATTGATCGTCGGAGCCCTAAAAATCTACTGAGCGCAATGACTTAGAATAGTGCTGCATGTGATTTTTACAAATGTTTTATGTGAAACTTGTAACACTAAGAATATTTACTTTTTGTTGTTTAGCCAATTTTCCTGAACAAATAGTAGATAATCTTCCAGCTGACGTATCCACTGGCATTTATTATGGTTGGGCCAGTGTTGGAAGTGGAGATGTTCATAAGATGGTGGTAAGCATAGGATGGAACCCATACTACAAGAATATGAAAAAGTCTATGGTAAGAATCGCATTTTCCTGTTACTGAAATGGGATTATGATTTAGAGTAATATGTGGTTTTAGATGCACACAGAACTTACCAGTGGTAAACACAACATGATACAAATAATAGAGTTTGGGGCAGCATGCTTGAAGAATTTAAAAGCAGAGTTTGGCTGTTTTGTTTGTTTGGGTTTTGTTGTTGTTTGTTCGCAGTACTGGGTATTGAACCCAGGGGTGCTCTACCACTGAGATACATCCCCAGTCCTCATATTTTTTGAGACAGGGTCTTGTTAAGTTGCTGATGTTGGCCTTCAACTTGCTATCCTCCTGTCTTTTCTTCCAGAGGCTGACTTTCATCACTATGCCCAGCTAGTTACTATTTGAATAGAATATCTTTTTCTATCTTTTTACTTTCAATCTGTGCCTTTGGATTTAAAGTGAGTCTCTTATAGGTAGTAATGGTGGGATCATGTTTTCAATCCATTTTGCCAATTTCTGCCAATTAGAGACCTTAAACCATTTTCACTTAACTAATAAAGTTAAATGAAAACAATTTTGCTTTTTGTTTTCTATATGACTTGTAAATTTTTTGTTCATTTCCTTTGTTATTTAGTTGACTAAGCATTTAATTGACTTTTTATAGTGACTCTCTTTTCATTTCCTTTTGAGTATTTTCTATAGATATTTCCTTTGTAATTACCATGGGAATTACATTTAGCATTCTAAAATTTGAGAAGTCTACTTTGAGTTCATACCAAGTTTAGTAGTGTACAGAACCCACAAATTACATCTTTTTATACATTGTGTACCAAGTAACAGATTAATTTTTTATGCATTTATTTATTAAATCATACAGAAAGTGGAGTTAAAAAACATTATAATGCTACCTTTTAAATGCTCATGTAAGTACATTTACAGTAGATAAGTGAGTTATTTAAAAGCATGTTTCATAAAATTGAGCTTGCCATAGTTTATGTAGTTCAAAGTGTAATTACTTGATTACCCTGTTAATATAGAAATGCTTACTACAGGGATGATGCAAATTGATGCTTTCTTTCTCTTATTGTGTTGCTAAGTATGAAACCCAGGGTCTTGCATGGTAGGCAAGTCACACCCCCAAACTCCTCTATTTTTAAAAAATCACCTTGAAGTATGCTCTAGTTTTGTCCCTACTTTTTTTTTTTTTTTTTTAAACAGGACCAACACAGTTTATGTTTTTATTTGTTAGATTTTGTTGAATCTTTCTTTTTTGTATATGCTGGAAAGTAAAGGGCTACATCCCCTTTTTATTTTCTTTATTTTTTATTTTTTGGTGTAGATGGACACAACACAATGCATTTTATTTTTATGTGCTGCTGAGGATTGAACCTGGGTACCACCTGTGGTGCTAGGCGAGTGCTCTACCCCTGAGCCACAATCCCAGCCCTTTATTTTCTTTATTTTGAGACAGGGTCTTGCTCAGTTGCAAGAGGTGGCCTCAAATTTGTGAGCCTGCCTCTTGAGTAGTTAGGATTACAGGCATGTGCCACTGTACCCCACTTGGCTGAATCTTTTGTCAGCTCAAGTATGTGGCAAAAACAGATTTATAGAGATCTAAATTGTAATTGTTCCTTTGTGTTTTTTTTGTTTTTTTTTTTCTTTTTTGGTACCTGAGGATTGAATCCAAAAATGCTTTACCACTTAGCTATATCCTTAGCCTTTTGTTTTTTATTTTGAGGCAGGGTTTTCTTTTTATTTGGTGGAGGGTAGTGATGATTGAACTTAGGGGCACTCAACCACTGAGCCACATCCCCAGCCCTGTTTTGTATTTTATTTATTTGAAGAGTTACTAAAAAAGAAGTGTGTCACAGTTGGAAAACCACTGTTGGTACAAGCAATAGTAATAACCCAGAACTCAGTAGAATAGTGCAAATTATTTGTTGGAAGAGATAAGGTAAAGAATTGCTAAATGAAAAAAACAGTTTTCCATTGAATAAGGAAGGAAAAGAAAGGCAGGGGAACCTATCCCATGATGAATCACACAGGTAATGGAACTGTTACTATTGAACTACTCAAGGAATGCCTTGGAAATCCTTTAATAATTAGGAGAAACTCAGTTTTCAGTAATAAGATGTTCCTACAATTCAGGGAGTGTGTGTGTGTGTTTCTTTGAAGGTAACAGATACCTATGAAGTTCCTACTCAAGTCCTTTGCCCTTATTTTAAAAAAAAGATGTGTAAACTTATTGTCATAAAGAAGTTCTTGGTATATTCCAGATCCAATTCCTTATTGGAATTATGTGTTACAAGTTTCTTCTGTGTTGCTTTTTTATTATTATTWTTTTTAAATAAACTCACTGGTGTCTTCAAGAACAAAAGTTCTTGATATAATCATTTAATCATTTTTCATTTATGGTTGGTTAGYGCTTTTAAATATCCACTTAAGAAATCTTTGCCTGCACCAAAATCATGAAGAAAGTTTGTTTTCTTCTAAAAGCTTAAGTGACTTACTTGTTTCATTAAATTGATTTTTGAGTATGCTGTACAGTAGGGGTCAAAATTATTATTTTTTCCTTAAATGAATATGAAATTGACCCAGCCTATCTATTGAAAATGCCATCCTTTTCTGATAATACTACAGTGTCTCCTTGTGATATATAAAATGGTTTTATGTGAGAGTCTTAAAAAAAAAAAAGTCATACATACTGATCTGCTTGTTTATCTTTGAACCGTTACCACTGGGGCTTAATTTACATAGCATTATAATAGGTCTTGATATCTGTTGTGTAAGTTCTTCAGTCTTGTTTTCAGGATTTTCTTAAATAATTTTGGCATTTCTATTCAAGTTTTAGAATAGATTGTCAGTTTCTACCATTCAAAAAACCCCACTAGAATTTTTATTGAGATAGAATTGGATCTGTAGGTCATTTTAGAGTAGATCCATTTATGGAAGATTAATGTTCTAATCCATTCCACCCTGCAAGTACCCTAAATCTTTCCGTTAGCATTTTGTCCCCATATATAAATGACAGTTATACAGAAGATATGGAACAGAAAGTGAATTATGAAATTAATTTATTTATTTTGCTCATCATTAAGCTTTTTTTTCCCCCTTTCATTTTTTGGTGCTGGGTATTGAACCGAGGAATACTTAACCACTGAACCACATTCCAGCCCTATTTTGTATTTTATTTAGAGACAGGGTCTCATAGGTCTTGCATAGAGCCTTGCTAAGTTACTGAGGCCGACTTTGAACTTGCGATCCTCCTGTCTCTGCCTCCTGAGCCTCTGGGATTACTGGTGTGTGCCACTGCACCCATCTTAATTTTATTTCGAGATAGGGTCTCACTAAGTTGCTTAGGCTGGCCTTGAACTTGTAGTCCTCTTGCCTCAGCCTCCCAAGTCACTGGGATTACATAGGTGTGTGCCACCACACCCAATTTAAGGAGTCTTTTTTGGAATATGATTACAAAAGAGATAATATACAAAGTGACTTCCCTGTAATTAGAGAGARTAGGGAAGAATAGTACAACCATCCCTGCATCTTTATTATTCCCATTTTAATGATCTCAAAGGATCATGACCATCTCCTCCCAAGAAAATTAAAAGATTATGAAAAATATGTTTTATTTTTTGAGAGGAAATAAAATTTTCCTTAATCTAAAAGGTTCAATGATTTTTTTTGTTATTGTTGTTGTTTGGTCTGAATCATTTAAAATGTACTCTTTATTGTTTTTATTACTCAGAATGAGGTAAGTGTAGTTTTAGATTTGTGATATTTCAGTTTAAAAGATCACTCCATAGATTAGATTCTTGGGTCATATGCTTCAAGGTGGATGTTTCTAGCTAGTTTTAACTTATATATTGCAATTTCTAATGCTCCCATCCTAGTCCAGCCTCAGCTGTTTTATTTCTTTTTTTYTTCCCTTCTCCCTCCTCTTCTACTCCCTCTATTCTCTCCTTCCTCCTCTTCCTCTACTTTCTTTATTGTTGCTATATTGGGTTTTAAACCCAGGGATGTTCTACCACTGACCTACACCCCYGGTTCTTTTCTTTTCCCTCCCTCCCTCCCTTCTTTCCTTCCTTCCCTTTCTCCCTCCCAGTCTCCCCAGCCCTTTTAAAATTTTGGTACAGGGTCTTCCTGAGTTGTTGAGGCTGGCTTCAAATTTTCAATCCTCTTCCCTCAGCTTTAATATAAAGAAACTTCAATTTAATGATTAAAATATGATAGATGAATAATAAGCTTTTTGAAAAATTCCTTAGTCATACCAAAAATTTATGTGTCAGTCAGCTTTCCATTGCTTTCCTTCACCATTTTAAGCATCAGATTTTACCAGTTTGTGATAGAACATATCTACTACCTCACTTAAGTTTATGCATAAGTTTGGGACAGTAACATGAGTGATGGAAAAAATGTCTTTAAATTTTAATGAGGACTGATGCTTCTTTTAAATTAACTCACTGTAAATAGAAAGGTAAATTTCAGATTTCAAGAAGTCTGTAATCTGAAATCTTTTCAACATTTTTGACTATAGGAAACTCACATCATCCATACCTTTGAGGAGGACTTCTATGGGGAAATCCTCAATGTTGCCATTGTTGGCTACCTCAGACCAGAAAAGAACTTTGATTCTTTAGGTAAGTTCTTGTCTTGATCTCCTTAAATATTACTACTGCTGATATAGGTACTACTAGTAGCATTGGTGGCAGTATGTATATTATTGAGAGTTTAATAATTGCCCCGTACTGTTTAAGTGTCTTACATGAGTTACTTTCTTTTTTCTTTTTTTTTTTTTGAGTTACTTTCTTTATCCCCTATGGTAACCCTATGAAGAATTATTTTGCCCATGTGATAGTTGGGGAAATTGACAGTTTGGATATATAGTCACTGTCCTAGTCTGTTTTCTGTTACTGTAGAAGAGTATCAAACTTGGTAATTTATAAAGAGTAGATGTTTATTTAGCTTACAGTTCTAGAAACRGGAAGTCCCAGAGCATTATGCAGGCATCTGGTCAGCATGTGGTGAGTGCCTTCTTGCTGCACCAGTGGAAGGGCATCACATAGTAAGACAACAACAGTGCTAGAGAGAGATCACTTTTATAACAGCCCCTTGATAACCCATGAATCATGAGGCATGGCAGTGCCCCCCTGTAACTGTAGTGTCTCAGGATGCYGAGGCAGGAGAATTACAAATTCACGGCCAGCCCCAGCAACTTAGTGAGACCCTATCTCAAAAACTAAAAAGAGGGCTGAGATGTAACTCAGTTACATAGTTAGTGATGGAGCCTAGATTAAAAGCCAGCAGACTGACTGCTTCTCTAACAGTATGAGGTTAATGAAATCTTTGATAAGTATAAGAAACAGTGAAGCAATGAACATTTGTTTCAGGTGTTATCAGGTGTCTTATTAATAGAATGGGGTAGTTTTAACCCTGTTGTAAAGTTTGTTTTACAGGTGTAAATGTCAAAGAGAAYAGATCATGAATATTTGTTTCTTGTGTTTGGAATTTGCAGTGTATATTTGTGACTGTACCTTTCTCTTAAAAAAATTGCAGTATTACTTAAGTCTAGGGAAGGGAAAAAACATTTATTAGATTCCATCCTGTGACAGAGATATGACAGCTTGTGAGTTGTCAGGAGAGGCTGAGCAAAGGAATAGTAAAGTCTATTAGCAGTTTCTCACTATATTTATTTGCATTCTCTCTACAGAGTCACTTATTTCAGCAATTCAAGGTGATATTGAAGAAGCTAAGAAGCGACTAGATTTACCAGAACATTTGAAACTCAAAGATGACAATTTCTTCCAGGTTTCTAAAAGCAAAATAATGAATGGCCACTGATGAAAAATTATTTTATTTATTCATTTCACTGTTTATAATTGTGCAGTCTTGCTTATATTTTAAAAATCAAACATTTTCCTATAGCTGTAAATTAGTTTAAACAATATTAGATAGTTACCCCATTATGCTTCGGCTGTTCAAACCATCATGCTATCATACTAAAAAGAATCATTTAAAAATAAATATTGTTTTTTATGTAATATGTTGTAATATTTTCTGAATCACTAGAAAGATACTAAGTGTCTTGTAATGGAAATAAAATGTATATAAGTCTGGGTTAAGCAAGTCACTAATTTGGGAGGAGAACTGTAATTCTCATGGTAAAATATATCCATGTATATAGCATATGTTACTAAAATAGAAGGCTTATTAAAGTAATGCATTAAACAGAAGTTTGATAATTTACTATGAGCCTAAGGAGGAAATTACAGACTGTAATTTTGATATTTTGTGCAATAATACATTATTACTGACATGGAGATTTGTGAAATTTGGTTTTCCTCATTTCTCTTCTGAGGTCAATTTATTCTGTCTCCATTTCTTGTGTAGTGCTGCCTCAAGTTTAAGTGGCCTAGATTCCCTCTGCCTTTGAGTTTCTCTAGACAGTAAAATGAATGTCTTTCGTTCTATACGATCTGGTTTTTGTGTTGGTCTTTCAACAGTATATAATTTTGTTTTTCAACATTTTTCTTGACAATGGTTTTCTCTTTAAACAATTACCAGCATCAGTTTTTTTTTTTCCATTCAGAATATCTATCCTAAAATTCTGTCCATAAGAGATCGCATTGGTCTGTACCATTCCATTTCATCACTAATCAGGGTGATTAGGTGCATATCTGTATTGCATCTTTAGAAAAAACAACAGACTCCATCTTTAGGCATCCTCAGGATATAAGTGAATATGTAGCCKTCCCTTTGTATTTACCAATTTCTTAACACAAAATTTTTATTTTTCTCCCAGGGAAACAAAGAGCCAATTAAACTATGAAATACTTAGAAGTATTAATTTTAAATGTGATTATATGTTCCAGAGCAAATCTAAACTGTCTTAGCTGTGTACGCACAATATGCTTTAATGTTAGCCTAAAAAGCTACGTTGAGGGAATGGTGTAAATAAAATTTTTATTAAATAATATTCATACTTTGTCTTTTTTCTCTTACCCACTATAACTTTTGGCCACTTGAGTCCTTTTGTTTATATCGGTAGAAAATTGAAATCTTTGGATATTTTGTACACATTAYAGGCATAGGTGTGTAACTTAGTGGTAGAATGCTTATCCAGCATACATGATGCTCTGGTTTGACCTCCAATATCAAATGCACACACACAAAATTAAAATTACAGGTTATTTGTGGCCTCCTCAATATCCTCAGATAGTATACTGCATTATTGTTCAATTTAACAATAGATTGGTGGTGGTGTGGTGTGGGAGAGTAAAGTTTGAAGAAAGTAGAAGGTAATTTTAAAGAAAACTCATGGTACATCATTTTTCCTCATCTACATGAATAAATGATACTTACTGATGGTAATAAACATAAAGTCCATAGAAAAACATCTAAAGCTATTGGAGCAAAGGATACATAGGTAAATTCAATCAGATTATGTTTCAATTTATTACAATGCTATTTGTGTCTTTTTTTTTTTTTTAATAAAAATATTGTGTGTGTGTGTGTGTGTATGCTGGGGATTGAACCCAGGGCCTTRTATATGCTAGGCAAGTGCTCTGTGATTGGGCTCCATCCTGAATGTCAGAAATCCCATACTTAAAAAAGGACTCAATTATCACTGGTTTTATGGAACGTATAAAGACAGATTGTTTAGTCTGAACAGCTTGATGCTATTATGGTCTCATTTGTGGAAGTTTTTTGATGTTTTATTGTCATCTTACATTTTGTTAAATGCCAATGCTTTTGAAAATCATAGTATTTAGGGGTTAGTTAATTGTCCACATTTTGAAAGGTTTTATATTAAGCATTTATGAATTACAAGACATTACAGTAGTTGAATTTCGAGTATTGTGGGTATTTTCAGGTGTTGAAATAAATCTTGACTAAGTGATGTTACTCTTTCCCTTTGTCAGCTTGGATAAGTTTCTGATTTGTTGACTGATGGTTACTTTAAGAGGTGTTAAAGGTCATGAATAACCAGGTGGCTATAGAAAACCTGGCAAGCAATATTTCTACAATCAAGGGGCTTGCCTTTGAGAGCTCTTGTTTTTAATGCCTATAGCACAGTGCCTTGAGTTTATTTGGAGAGTATTCACAATGCATCTGTTCTTTCAAAAGTCCACTTTCTGACAGTGAGGGTTTCTGTTATATTTTGATGTAAGAAGAGCCAGAGAGGTATAAGTAGGTCTGATACCCTTGAATAATTGCTCCAAAATAGAGTTCTGTAACCTTCATGACTTGTGCCACCAACCCTGCATACAGTAAACRGAATTTTTTTGCCTATCTCTATTGCATGCAAATGCTTTTTAAATACTCTTCTCCAGAATTCTCAGCTGGGCACAGCTGTGAATACCTGTAATTCCAGAGACTTAGGCTGAGACATAAGGATGGCAAGTTCAAAGCCAGCCTTGACAACTTAGCAAGATCCTGTTTCAAAGTAAAAAGTTCTGGGGGCTCTTCATTTCACTTCATTGCATCCTTGAAAGCAAGGAGGGTTAAACTGCTCTGTTGAGGCCACCTGCAAAAATTGGGCTTGTGCTCTCGCTCTTGCCGTGTCTGCTCAGTCTAGCAAATCTGATCCTGAAGTACTGCCAGAGATATGACCAGCTTGTGAGTTGTCAGGAGAGGCTGAGCAAAGGAATAGTAACTTCATTAAGTTGGACTAARTGATCTTCCTCAAATGGATTGCCCAAGATAGCCACTCAATGAAAGAGAAGACACTAGTGCTTTGTACATAAAATTCTAACCCCCCGCCCCCCMAAAAAGGTAGCAATGTAGCTCAGGGGTAGAGCATCACTGGGTTAAATCTGCAATAAATTGTCTCCAGAACTCTCACCTTCAACTAAAGAAGGCTTAACGACTTATAGTCAGGGTTGTATAACCCAATAAGGATTGGGGAAATGTAAGTTGACGTCTCCTTGGAATTTATAAGAACAGTCTTGCTTTCCTAGTAGAATTACTAGCCTTTCTCTTTTCCCCTCTTAACTGGAAAATAGATTTGAGGCTGATACAGGAGACTCACAGAGTGGATCTTCAGGGATTGAGATGAGAAACAAATCTACCCTACCAAAGGAGATGGCCTCATGAGAATTAGCAGAAACACTGGAGAATGAGCTCTACAAAGATGGCAGATAGAGATTACTAGATATAGGATTTGAAGTAACTATCTGTGAAGAAATAAAGAGTATTAAAAGTGCTCAAAAGAAAACATGGTTGTATAAAATGGTAGGGTTGGGGTGTAGCTCAGAGCTAGAACCCATGTTTAATTGGGATGGGTGAGGTCTAGGACTCAATCCCCAAACCAAAAAAAAAAAAAAAAGGTTAATTGTGCAAGGGTATTCAGAAAGTTGGGAAATGCAGGATGAAGTTGGTTTCACATTCATTATGGTTGGTTTCAATTTTCACTTTTTCAGATAAAGTTCCTTTAAGTATAATAATCCAAACTATAAATGTGCAAAAATACATATACAAGCTGGGCACACTGGCACAAGCCTGTAATCCCAGTGGCTCAGGAGGCTGAGGCAGGAGGATTTYGAGCTCAAATCTGGCCTCAGCAACAGCAAGGTTCTAAGCAACTCGGTGACATCCTGTCTCTAAATAAAATCCAAAAAAGGGCTAGGGATGTGGCTCAGTGATTGTGTGCCCCTGAGTTCAATCCCTGGTAAACCCCCCACCACACAAAAAAACAATACATACATACCCTATATTGGAGCATTTGTTCACCATCAGTAATGACTAAATCCCACATGTGGCTAGTGGCTATTRTATTTAGGCAGTTCAACTACCAAAGGGTTCTATAATGTCTGGAAGCAGGGAAATAGTAAATTGTTCTTTTTTTTTTTTTTCAGGTAAACAATTGGTCCATTTCTTTAAATTTGAGGTACTTTGTTTTTTTTATTTTTATGTGGTGCTGAGGATCGAACCCAGGGTCTCACACATGAGAGGCGAGCGATCTACCGCTGAGCTACAACCTCAGCCCCTAAATTTGAGGTACTTTACCTGAAAATATATTGAGCATTATTACTTGAAAATATAACTAACATCTGAGAAAACCTTGTATCTAAAGAAATGTAATCCATAGTGTTTCCCTTTGTATCTGGATTTGCAGGAAGCTCAGTGCTAATGCTCAGTCACTGTAGGCATAATCACCCAAAACCATTAGTTTCAAACTGCTCTGGTGTGGGAGGAGAAAAACACAAGAAAATGCTCTGGGACCTAAAGGAAGTGGGCAAGTGAGGGGAACTCTGCTCTCTTCCCAGCCTGCTTAAATGAACTGTTTTAAATTTATGAGCTCTACAAACGACTTCATTGGATAAAACTTCTGCTTGGGTTGATTAGACCACTTGCTTCTTCCTCCCTTGAGGTTCACATTCTCTATTTTCACCTCTATTTTTATTTTATACACATAATAATTAGCACTTCAAGCATTTTTCAGGAAGCAGGTGAATATAAATCCTGAAGGAGTCACTGCCTCCCAGGCATGAGAGGATTCTCAAGTGTGGCTTTTGCTTGGATCCATGTAAATAAGTGTGCTGCTAACTGAATCACTCATGAGAATTTCAGGTGCATTACAAGGTCCCTACAGGTCTTTCTGAGCCCTCAAAATATTTTCTAAGGCTTCCCAGAGAGTTATTTTGCATACGGATTTGAATTTATTATGTATCTTGTAAATATTTCTGTCAAATGAAGTATTTTTGTTTTTATTTTTGAATCAATCCCCCTCCCATCCCCATCCCCCTGAACTGGGATTGAACCCAGTGACACTCTACCARCTGAACTACACCCCCAGGCCTTTTATTTTTTGAGACAGGGTCTCATAAAGGCCTCAGCGATCTTCCTCCCTCAGCTTCTGGAGTTGCTGGGATTATAGGCATGCACCCACTGTGCCCAACTTCAAATCTCTCTTGAAATCAACAAAACCAAATTCTAAAATTCTAAGATTTTCAATATATTTAAAAACCAGGTTGTTTCCCCTGACTTTACTCGGGTCAGCTGATTTGCTCTGTTTTCCGTTATAGTATTTCCTGTGGGTTTGGTTTGAGAAATTTTTTGAAGTTTTGGAAAACAGAGGACAATGTTAGYTTGTATTCTTTGCCCCTTTTGAAAGTTTTTTTCTTCATTCCCTTTTAGATAGTATTACAAAGGAGTGGGTAACATTAAACATTAAATACCTTTTTTAGTGCAACAAATTAACTACTTTGAGTAGTCATGTATTGGTTTATATTTTTGCACTCATG